TGATCAAAAACAAATTGCTTAAACTGCAATAAAAAGACGGCATTGCCGGGGCTCGAACCCGCCCCCTTGGGAATTCGAAGTCTGACCCGAGATATTTGCATTCCCTGAACAGTTGGAACTATGTGACCAGACGGACTTGTAGATGATGAGTCTACTCGTGTTTCCACCCGCCTTTGTCCTCATTGCAGCCTCTCCCGTTGTTGTTTTGCCTTGTCCGACTACATGCGCACTCGTGCAGCTCGAATCCGCCACAACGAGCAACACAACCTGGTAGAAGTATGAGACGCGAAGGAGTGAAAGCCACAGTTCAGTGGTCAAGACCTACGTTGTTTAGGGTGTAGAGTACGCACCAACAGGCTGTTTTAGATGTGTTAGAATTTCCGGGGTATGAAACATGATGACTGTACAATCATGCATCCATGCTCGGCGCTACACAAGAATATTCATATCGTCGAACCCGAGGTTAAGAATAAACCGTAAGGTGGAGGAACACCGCATCACAAATTTAACAGAAATAATGAAAGCAGACACACGGCGAAGAAACGGGGCTGTGGGTGTTGTAAAATAAGATCGGCCCTGTTTTCTAACTCGAATGTGCAACGTATCTTGAAGTACATGCGGTTCGTCCCAGGACGAACACGCACACACACATCAGTATAGTGTGAGAGAGTAGGATGATGATGGTGAAAGCACTCCAAAACGAACTCGAGTGCAAGGTAACAGCCTTGGTAGACGCGTGCAGTTTTCTTCTGCTGCTACTGATTCTGTCTTTTTCGTCCGGAGAATAACTTAGCCTCCCCCATACCGCTCCCTCACGGGGTCCCAGTTAATGGCACTTAGAAGTGTTTAGTGTTTTCAACCGCACTGAGACTGACGTGTTTTTCATTGGTCAGCCGGTTCGCGCGGTCGATGCTATTAATAAAAGACACACGAATTGGTTCCGCCGGTTAGCGTGGTCGATGCTGAATTTAATTGAAGAAAAAACACACCGGGTCGACACGATATTTCAGCTGAGCTATGCAGGCACAACTTGCTGTTTTATGTGCTGCAGCAGTAAATCAACCGCGCTACGTGTTGACATTGGCTGTACCCCCCGATCCGATACGTGGACACAACACTTCGAATGTTGGGGGTCGAAGGGTAGGTACGTCAGTACATTATCATTACTTTTGTGAAGACAACAACACAACAACAACAACAACAACAACAACAACCTATCACTGGGAACACTCAGCTGCGATACAGTACCTCATCACTGGGAACAACGTTCCTTGCTCGGCGCAACCTACAGTAACTCTCGTCCCTGGCTGGTGTCAGCACTTATTGTATTACTACCTCTGGCTCGTATGTTCAAGAAACGCCACCGGTGCACGCTTGCTAAGCCTCAATAAACCGCAGTGAACCGGCTCTCTCCCAGTGAAAGGTGTCCTCTACGAAGGGATCACCTTGTTCGAAAAGGGGTCGTTTAGACGTTTGGACTGGAGGTCATGTCTGTGCGGACTGCAGAGGGGGGGGCGGTATAGCGCAGGTTGAATAGTGCAGGTGCTCGGTATAGTGCAGGTAAAATCTCTGGACACCGACAGCGCCCTCAATAGTGCAGGTCCTGCACTATTGCGGGCGGTCCCGCTATAGTGCAGGTTGGGCACCGTGGTGCCCCGCAGTAGTGCAGGTTGGACACACACAAAGACCAACACAACAACTAAGGAGGGAATCATAGCGTGGAATAGAGCACGAGCTTCGAGCCAGATGACCTTCACCACAACAATTGACGCAGGGCCACAGAGAAGAACTGCCGAAAAACAATTGCAGTGCAAATGATGATGAGAATGATGATGATGGTGGTGAAAGCAAGGAGGATGGTGATGGTGAAAGCACTCCAAAACGAACTAGAGTGCAAGGTAGCAGCCCTTGGGTAGACGCGTGCAGTTTTCTTCTGTTGCTACCGTTTCTGTCTTTCATTCGGAGAATAGCATAGTCCCCCCATGCCGCCCCCTCACGGGGTTCCCGCTAATGGCGTTTAGAAAGTGTCTTTTGTTTTTATCCGCACCGAGGCTGACGTTTTTCATTGGTCAGTCGGTTAGCGCGGTCGATGCTAATAATACACACACACACACACATGGAAGAGAGCAAGAGCTTCGAGCCAGAGGACCTTCCCCACCTCAAACGACGCAGGGCTAGAGAAGGGATGTCGAGAAGTTGCTGTGAAAACGACCAGGAGAACGATGGAGTTGGAAGGAAGGAGGATGACGGTGAAAGCACTCCAAAACGAACTCAAGTGCAAGGTAGCAGCCCTTGGGTAGACGCGTGCAGTTTTCTTCTGTTGCTACCGTTTCTGTCTTTGATACGGAGAATAGGTTAGTCTCCCCCATGCCGCCCCCTCACGGGGTCCCAGTTAATGACATTTAGAAGTGTTTTGCGTTTTCAAACGCTCTGAGACTGACGTCTTTTCATTGGTGAGCGGGTTAGCGCGGTCGATGCTAATAATAAAAACACACACGGACAGCGGACAAAAGCACCACAGAGACGACGGTACACGTGCTACTGCAGACCCGAAGAGCTCTACGCAGAGGCGCACCATGCCTTGAGTTGACGGTGATCTGGCGATGATAGCAGCGCATTCCGCTAAGCGGGTGCGCCAGGCAGACATGAGCGGATTTTTCGGGTAGTGCGAGCGGGGGGTCAGCTGCAGTGCGCTTCCTGTCGTGTTTCTTATTTTTTTTTGTCTTTTTTGTCTTGCAACATCGAAGGAGGGCAACGAGGACTGAGATTTCGCTTCGTTAGCTACGTATTAACGTAGAAGGGTTGATTCGCGCGACAGCAGTTCAGGGTGTGCAGTACAGTACGAGTGCTGAGGCAGGAAGAAAATAACGGTGGAGCATGCAGGTAAACTTTATACAACACTTCTGTGTGTGCGACAGGGGGGAACCACAACGCGTCGCGAGACAGTCTGCCCACGCCCACGCTAGGACAGGGCCCAGTACTACTGCAATTCGTTTAATTTCGTACCCAGTTAGCCCCGCAAAGCGTGAGCGCCACACCATCAAGTCAAGCATCTCCGCAACAGTGCAGGACCTGCACCATTGAGGGATATTCGAAACCTCAATAGTGCAGGATCTGCATTATTGAGGCACTCTTCGGAGTAGTGCAGGTGCCCGCTATAGTGCGGGTAAAATCTCTGGACACACCCCTGCACTACCGGGCCCCCCTCTGTAGTACATAATACATGCATCCTCGTGCTGGCTTCTGCGCGCGCCTCGTGCTGGCTTCTGCGCGCGCAAGAAGTCACCAGCAAAACAAAACCCTCATACTTCTCTCTCGTGTGTGTGTGCCCCCGTCTCTCTCGAGGTTCAAGACACACAGTGTGTCCATGAACATCAGACAAACCTCGACAGTTACAAAAGTAACGTTTCAACTGAGGGCCAAACGACCTGCACAGAGCTACAGCACGAGTAGCCACGAGGGCACCACGCGGTCCTCGAGGCCGCTTACACTGCCCTTTCTCTTCCTAGAACGCCATCCCAGCATTGTATCGAATACGTTTCAATCAACGCTCGAAAGCCTTCAAGGCACTCCCCTGTGAGAATTACTGCTGCAGACTATGTCGAACGGATACAAAGAGGTTGGTGTACCTCAATGTCCATGTTGTTTACTTTCTATTCACCACCTCCCCCCTCAGTCTCTCCCACAGGTGCCAAGCAAATTCTTCTTGTCTCACCTTTCAAGCTAGAGGAGGAAGTGGAAGAGGAGTAGAGGTGGGCGTCGTCCGTCGCCACTCTTTATATTTATTTGTGCCGGGGGTAGAAGACATTTTGTGTGACGGAGGGAGCTTCGGGGGCGACAGGGAGACACAGACAAATGATGTTGGTGCCCCTGGTTTGTGTATCATCCCTGTTTGGCGTCATACTGTAGACAGACGTGCGGCCTCACATGCTATCAACACACTACCAGCAGACGTCGCTACAAGTTGGTTGAGGTTGGAATGTCACCTCCTGTTGCGGCTTGCACGCCATCGCCTGCTGCCAATTGAACACCAACAACAGCCCAACAGCAGTAAACCACTATTACGCCGCATAATAATTGGTTCTTGCGAAACGATCGTCGTTCCACCTCAAACCGCCCGCTACTCCGCCAACCGCCAACTTCCCTCGTCCCTCGTCTACTCGTCTATCGTGAAACGATAGCAGTTGCACCGCGTCACACGACTGTTGTCCCGTCCCCATGTTAAACTTGTGGTGTACGTCGGCGTGCCTCCCTCACAAAGACGATTCTCGAAGAATCAATATCGACAGACCGCAAATTGAATTACAGCGTAGATGATGACGCGCGGGAGGAATGCCACTCACTACTGTACAAGACCGCTCTCGTCGAAACGCGACGGCCTCCCATGCCCTTTCGACGATACCGCCCACAGGTGTACTTGCAAACCAATCGACCTACAATATATACGCGCTAAGACGGTAATAGTGTGATCCCGGTGGGCGGGGAAGCCGCCAACCCTGGTCCTTGGTTACAGGTGCACGTTCGGCTCCGCGCCCTTCAGTTTCACCATGACGGTATACTCGCAGGTAAACCCCGGAACCGTTATCACCAAACACTCACGCACGGGCGGCCAGGGCAGGTTGTATCTGGTGCACAACCTCGCCACAACCTCCCTAGAGTCAGGTTGTACGCCGACGTGTGCAGCTAGCCCCGCGTCACGAATTGCAACGTTGGTCCAATCGATTTAGGGCGGGCTGGCAGCGTAGACTACATGTTGTCCAAGGTCGATCCCCAACGTCCAAACCTGATCCCGGGGAGGTTGGGCACCAGTTACAACCTATATCTGTGCTCCGCGAGCCGTGGCGCCCTCTGCGCGCGAGACTGCATATTGATCAAGAGGTCCACAAGCGTGCGCGTGGGCATGGGCGGAGCCTGACATACAGACACGGTGCGACAGTACGTCTTGAGGGCGCCAGCGATAGAGCGGGAGCGGGAAACACACAAAACAAACAACGGAGAAACAAGAGAAACGATGGCCTTCTTACCGCCAATCAGACCTTCAACGTACTGCTTCAGGGGGGGGGATAGAGGCCGAGCCCACCCAGTCCAACATCACAAACAACTCGCTCACTTAGGTACACACGAAGGAAAGAAGAGCACTCCCAGACGACACAAGAAATACCTGTAGACTAGATCACAAATACAAGTATAACCTCATGGACCGACTGATCAAGAACATATCGTCACCGCGAAGTCTTGACCACTCAAAATTCGTTCCAGGTGGGTGCATCTGATTTCTGCATCGATCAACATGTTTACCCATCAACACTGCACTGCTGTACAAAGAATAATCAACCATTGCTGGGTTCTCGCAGTAGAGCGGTGGTCACAGCCAGAAAATTATCCTTAACAATTTTGCAAGGAGAGGAAATCCCTAACGGTCAGGTGTAGCAAGCATGATGAGTGCCTAAACCCTGCTCCGCCCTTAACGGTTTGTTGTCTAACGGCTCGGGGACGGCCATGAATTTGTGGCCTCTCTCCCGAACTACCCCTTTCAACGACCACTTGTAGCAAAAGGATTGTAAATGACTTCCGTTTCTCCAAGAAAAAAAAATACCATCAGATAAGAAGTATGCTACACGAGACATGTACGGAACGAGATGCGTCGTACTCTGAAAACTACGCCTCATTAACGCCAACAAATGCACACGGCAGAAAGAGTAAACGGTTGTACTGCAACGCCCGGCACCAAATGCAGGGCAAAACATCGCCGCACCACATTTGGTCAAGTTCACCAGCCACGCCTATCGCACGGCGGTGGGAAGCCGGCTGTGCGCCGCTGGGCCGACCACGCACATCGCCCACCGAACCTCTTGAAAACAACAACAACAATAACAAACAACGTCGGCCATCACGTGGGACATGGCGCAGCATCACGTCGTGCCGCATCACATGGCGCGCCCCTCGCTGTCGTCCGAGTCCGGGTCGTCATCCTTGAATGCCTGCTCGTTCTCCTCGTCCTCCACCTTGTTCAGCACCTATGACACACACACGGCACGGGTGAATGGCGAATCGCGGGGGGGTCACAACAAAACGAGGGATACGGGGGGGGGGGGGTACTCATAGTCGTGCATGCCGTAGTCGTTAGACCATGGACCTCGCCTCCCTACAAAGCAGGGACGGAGCACGCCGGGTTCTCACCGGACCAGGCTCTCACATCACCAAGCGCGAAGCGCCATGAGGTACTCGGCGAGTCGCATGAAGGGTGCGATGCATCCTGCTAAGGGTGTTCGGCATCTTGTGCTTACTTCCTTGCGTACGGATGACAGCTGCATATGACTTAATTTACTTTCTGGTGCTTTCACTCCCAGAGACAGTTGTAAGCACTGTGTAACTGCCTCGAGGGTGCTTGACCAATTGAACACAACGTGGTGCGATCATCCCCCTTGCGTGGATTGAGGGTTATCGACCCCGCACGTAATCTACTCCACCACCATTCTTATGGTTATCGCAAAAAAAAAGGCAAAAAAAAGGCGGTAACCTGGTTGTCGAGCTCACGAAGCGATCGGCTTGTTTTACAACGAAGGTAGTTACCAAGCGACGAAAACAAAACCCCGATGGCAAACCGTGGGGGGGGGGGGGTACGGTGGTCTAGGGATCAACATCCTCGAAAATAAAATACTGATGCTGGGCCTCTTCGTCCTCCCACACCTTGTCCAGCGAGTAGCTGCTGTGATGCCGCAACACACATCAAGCCACAAAACATTTATGGTTTCCAAAAAAGGACCATGTGAGGGCGTTGTGGTAAACGAGCGTCAACGTAGATAGGATGGCAGAGGAACGTCGTCAGGCTGTTCGCTTTGTGCACCACCTTGGCAATTTTCCCGGAGACGAAACACACCGAAATTGCCTTCCACCTCCACAGAGGCGCAAACATCACAAGCCCTTGGTACAAAAAGCTCACGTTTGTTGTTGCTGTTGTTGTTGTTGTTGTTGTCTTCACATTGTTATTTTTTGTATTTTCGTATATCTTTTTTTGGGTAAGTCAGTCTGTGACCACGGGAATCACGTTTGCACAGAGAAATCGTGAGTAAAAACCTCAAAAGGTCAAAATAACAATGACGAGGGTTGCAAAAAAAGAAGAAGGCCGCAAACAAGAAGAACAGAACAACAACAAGGACTAAATCGGGCACATTCAACTCACTCTTTTGGCAAGGGGAGCCACGAACTGCCTCTTGAGGTCGAGACCGGAAGGCAAGGTCGGGTCTCGGCACGCATCTTGGTACCTTTTCTCCGAGGCGAGCCGCTCACTGATGAACTCGCAGTTGTTCAACAGGATGTTGATGAACCTAGCGCGACGGGGCAAGAAAATAAAGGCAGCACAGTACCGAGCATTGGGGCTAATATGGGGCACGTGCAGCAAACCGTGGTTGCTCCACTCAAGCAGCGTGTTGACGACCTGGCTGGCAACCTACATGCCGTGGCAACACGCACGCACCCGATTAAGGACCAGGCAAAGAGGGGTGTGTGCCAATGGATGTATTGGGTCGTGTGTGAAAACAGTTGAAGAGAGAGAAGAGGCGGAACGAGTACCCGAGATTCATGGAGAGTTAGTTCTCTTTCGTAAACGAATGGTGTATTCTACCCCCTCTGACTGCCTGTCTATCTCTCTCTCTCTCTCTCTCTCTCTCTCTCTCTCTCTCTCTCTCTCTCTCGATCTGGGTGCACACCAACTCGAGAACACGTACAAAAAAATGTCCATCTCGAAGGAATCGCAACCCATTCGGAGATCACCAGGGTTCTCTCGCGACACACGTTTAACCACTTTCCCTCTCTCCCCAACCGATTTTTTTTTTCTTGTCATCTGCCAGTCTTTTGCCCCTTCTCACTTGTGCAGTCTGCCACCCTTGGCGACACGCTTGTTGGGGATCCTGCACTCCTCCGCCTTGGCCCAGTTCCTCGTCTTCGTCACGTCGGTCTTCGTCCACAGGTCGAATTCCATCTGCAAAACAAAAGAAGAGACAAAAAAGTACTGTAAAAACAACTGAACAACGAAAGAAACCGCGAAGATAATTCGGCCATGTCTCAGGACGTGGACTGCCGCAAACGGGAGAGGCAGAAAACTGAAGAACGGGAGCGGAACAACAGAGATAAAGCAAAACCCAGAAGGCCACAGATTTACCCCAAACAGACGGGAAGAACGACAGAAAAGGCTGGGGCCTGCAAGACGGATGGGAGTGATTCGGAGTGCTGCGAGCACGTACCTCGAAGAGGGTAGGGTGTGGAACCGACCTACCTCAACAGGATGGATATTTGCGTACCCCCCTGAGATGCAAAACATGTTCTCCCCAATAGTAACAGCGTTCCATTCCTACATTCCGACACGCTCGTGGATCAAGAGCACGCGACCCTGCACATCTCGAAGAAGGAAAAAACAAGTATGTTCTCTCCTTCGCAGGAGTCAGTTCGTGCAGACACTCCTGTCTGCTCCGGGCGTTTACCTTGGTTGCGGCGATGTCGGCCTTATCGTTCCCGCTCATGCCGACCGAGTTGTTCTGCTTCGCCTCGGCCCTGATCCAATCGATGGTGCGAAACGGCGGGAAACAAGGTGAATTGCTTTAGAACAACATAGAGCCTCGGAGAACAGGAAGCAGCGACTGCTGTGCGGAGGTAAGAACCGAGAGTTGTCAGAAGCGACGACTCCTGACAGCATGATTGTTGAAGAAAAAAACATAACAACGATCACAACGCACAGGATTAAGCGCCACTGCAGCAAGAAAGAGCTGTTTTGTGTGCCAAAAGAAATAAAACAGCATCATACAATATTATTTCTCCCTCAGATGGGATACTACTACTGCTGCTGCTGCTGCTGCTGCTGCTGCTGCTGCTGCCGCTGGTGCACTCCCTGTGCAATCCTTGCAATAAAACTTCCCCAGAAGTCCGGACGAACGCACAGGCGTGAAAACGTCCATTGCTCCACAACCAAGAGGGTGCCAGAACCGACCGACACGTGCAAGGAAAGCTCTCGGCGGAATATTTCTACAAGCGCGCTTTTCGGCAATGGCGGCTTCCTCGTTGTGAAACAATCGAGCTTTTAAAAATCCATCGCACAGATGTGCGACCACCCGCACTCTTACGGAATGTGCCTCCCGCTTGAATTGCGCCGGTTACTCTCAGAGTTTGTTTCGGCGTCATCGTGTAGATATCGCAATACGGCGTGGGAACAACGATAAACAGACGGCGGCAGCACGCATTGCTGCTGCGGCGCCGGCGCTGGCAACAAAAGGGCACCGCTACATATCGATCCAAGAACTTGCATCATTCATGAACAGCCAACAATATTAAAGCGTACTTATCTACTGCTATAGGTTGCACGCAGTCGGCCACTGTCTTTCTCACCTCATGACCTTCTTGCTTGCCTTCAGTTGAGCATCCTGGCGAGAACAGAAAACCAAAACAAGGGGCGACAAACGCCGGAACGGAGCGAGGGCAACGCCAAGTATGTCATTTTGGTGCACGGTGCCTCCACACGATCGAAGTCGCCACATCATTAATCACCATAAGCGACGGACAAAATGTTCACCCATTCAGCCTACGAAGTGACGTGGGCCTGGATAGGACTGAGGGACAGGGGGTGGGGGGTTCATCGACTTGTCCACAGATGACGTCGTGCTTCGAATGCCTCATGACTATCGGGATGTACTCATGTCTTGATCTCCTCAGTCGCTTGGCCATAGGGCGCGCTTTCCTTCGAGACGAACCGCAAGTGCTACTCCTTAATGAGACACAACAGCAGTACCCGCCAACATATCTGGTGCTCTTCACGTGACCATGGGCGGAGGGTGGGGAGGGCACACCAACGCCGGGATCCACCTTTTTCTAACAAGGTTCATTTCACATAAATCTGAACACCGGTTAGGGTTTCGCAGAGCGGGAAAAGGGGGCACAAAGGATAGGGACAACGCCAAGCAACATACCTCCTTATCCGCCAGCTCCTTCCACTGACAAGGGCCTTGCCCAGTAGCCTTTTGTCAGCGACGGCGAAATGGCCGCCGGTGTTGGGACAGATGATGTCCGATGTCGATGCCATGTAGCGCGAGCACAACCGGGCAGGAATGCACGACGCACGGATAGGGGCGGGGGGGGGGAGAGGGGACCTTGGGTGAAAAATTCGTCGCATGTAGCAAGCTTGGTCAGACCATCTGCTGTGGGCAAGCTGGTTATGAACCACGCACTTTCATTGTTCAATGGGTACCAGATACACACCCAAAAGAAGACGACAACCATAACACGCCGCATGTTTGCACAGAGCCAATCGCTTCCCGCCTGTGCCCAACCGCAAACATGCGTTGAAGTCTCGTCGACAGTTTTGAGAAAGGAGCGTCGAGATTGGCGACGCCAGTAGCTCCAGCTCAAGTGCGAGAGCCAGCAACAGGAACAGGAGCACCCGAGTATGCATACGATCCGCCAGTCGACGCCAAGATGGTAAACACACTTCCTAAAGCTACATACCTCTCGACAGAAAGCAATGGCCGAGTCACACACCTAGCTCTCACCAACGTGGGCCGTCGGAACAGCACAACAATACATACATGTAGCCGGCCCGTTCGTAAGAAACGCTATTGAGCCCGGCTGTTGCTAAGGTATAAGGTAACCATTATTTCGAAAAACTGTGACCCTCGATTTCTTGTGAAGATGTTTCTTGTGAGCAGGGGGGCACCGTGTGACATACCTTGGGGCGGTTCCAAGCGCCGGCGTTGGTCGGCGGGGGCACGTACTTCATCTTGCCCCCTCCAGCCGGTGCCGCCGCTCGTGCGGCAGACCCAGCTGCGCCGCCGCCGGTAGCGGGCGGGGGTACGTATCTCCCCTTGGTTGACTTAGGCTTGCCGCTCGCTGCTGCCCCCCAAGACTGAGACGAGACGGGGAATGGCAGAAGCGCAAGGACCGAGAGAGAGAGAGAGAGAGAGAGAGAGAGAAGACGCCCAGAAAAACAAGGAGGATATGATGTAACATCAACGCGTTTGAGTGTCAAACAACTAGGCTATAGCGTACATCAAACCTGATGTCGATTCATACATACTTGCAGTCGAAGTGTGGGGCATCAGGCGACGACCCAGCACAAACGCCGAGACAACCTGCTCAAATCAAACGAACCCGCAGAACGATCCATTCGGCGCCAATGAACGTTGTTGTCATGTGTCCAAAAAGGCGTCGAGTAGACGCTGTCAAGTCTGCTAGCTGCAATACCTAGTTTAGGTCATGAGCAGCCATGGACAACGGACAGGTTGAGTTGCTGCCACAGCTCTGCCCAGCATACAGCCATGCATGTATGCATACCGTAAGGTTTCGAGTCAGCGCACAGGGGTGCGGACGATTTTCAAAGCGTAATTTTGTGGAGGATTTACGTTTTGAAAATCGATCGCACCCCTGTGCGCTGACTCGCAACCGTATGTATACGGCATGGATACACCGGCGAGAGGCCTCCTCGCTCCGGTATCCGCACGAGAGATGGACTGGGTACTGCCGTACGTTCCGTGACAAGAGGTGTACAAAAGGGATACAATGCATACAACAATGTAAAACAGCAAACAAACCTGCTAGTGCAAACACAGGTACACGAATACGGGCTGCTGGCAACCCCGCCTCGGGAGCTACGCTTCTTGTATGCAAGACGACACGTCTCTCTGCTGTGTACATCGGGTATGTTAAAGCTGAGTTGCACAGCAGTTGGAGAGTCCGCTGACGGGAACAGAGCGTCGAACGCCACGTTCGATTCTTTCTGGACAACACAAAGAAAGCAATAGCCCACGAACTCGACAATACTAGACGGCGTGCAAGGCACTGCTGCGAGGTGTGCCATGTATGTTGGCGCCAACGATGACATGTTTGGTTTGTCCGCAAGTAGGTTGTTACAAATTTGCAAATTTGCACATGTCGGCACAGCAAATATTTGCTCTTGGGTGTTTTTCAATTGGGCAGTTTTGGTGACGTCGTCGGCGCTTACCAGGTTGTTAGAAGATCCTTTCGCCCACGAGTTAGACATTGTGCAGCAGAGGTCACTTGAAGCGTGAGAGAGAGGGGGAGCGATAGAAGAAGAGGAACGGAATGTGTAAGTGAGACCTCGAGGAGGCGACAACTTGGCGAGGGGGCAACGCGAGCAGGAAGGGGGTATGCACGGAACAATTTGTTGCGTCGACGGAGCCCCTGTGTCCACACCAGTTGCTCCGTTCCCTCTTACCTTGCCTTGCTAAGCACGCCCCCAGCTGCCTGCTTGAGACAGTCTGGTGTGACACCGCCATGGCTTGGGTCTCGGACGAAAGTAAGCCCCTCCCCCTCAAGCTCTCACCTTCGCTGGGATTCAACAACCTGACGTCTAGCGTTTCCACCTTCGTGAGTACAGCATTACATGCGCGCAATATCTTTGCTGGCGACCGTCAAAGATACATGTCGGCAGCAAATGCTAGGTACAGACTAATCCTGCTGTTTTGTCGTACGTAGACGGGTCGGGATGCTGTCCGCTCAACACACAGGCCTTGCGGCCAGAAGAGATCAGATGTTAGGAAAAGACGGATACTCCACCGGGTGTATACAGTGTACAGACCAACGTACGTGAGATAACACCCCCATCTTGCTAATGGATTGAATCCCATCAGCCGCGTTTCTCAAAGGTTCAAAACAAACAAACACGTGTACCTTGTACAGTCATGGATATCGTACTGCGGACAGATGTGATAGGAAATACATTCTTTGGGTAAGGCTGCCTAGATGTGCTCATATCGAACGAAGTAGTAAAAGGCGTTGTGGCACCGCCCTGCCGCCACGGCGTTTGAGTATCTTCAAACTCCACGGACGCAACTTCTCGCGCATTTTTCCGCGATATAGCGCCAGTCTTGGATGACAGGTGATGCCATATCTAGATACAGAGTGAATGCGAAAACATGATTAGCGAAAGGTCTTATTGGATCCCGCAGGAGGCGGCCAGAGTTAACAAAATAGGTCAGACTGGAAGGTTAGAAAGGGTGGGGTGCGAGAAGTTGAGTGGCATGGAAAATCAATGGTGCTCTTGTCGAGACTAGCCTAGACTACAACCCCTGCATGTCTCTAATACGCTTTCCCCTATTCAAAGTTCTTTGAGTTTCACCGGGCGCTTGCTTGTCGGACTGCATGCTTGTCCCTGTGTCATCTGAACGGAGGTCGTGCGCTTGACATTTCTTCCAATCTCGCGAATGCCACAGGCCTACATTCACAAGGGCGATGTGCTCATCTACGGGCTTGACGGAGTGCTGAGGCAGACTCTGGTCAACGATGGTGGGGTACGGGCTATGGAGGTGAAGATTTTTCGGTTTAGTATTCAATAAAGCCGAACTAGCATGCCTTGGCAATGTAGAATACCGTGGGAGTGGAGAGACAGCACCGGGGTGCGAAAAAAAACAAGAACAGCGTGGTTTTATTCTACTTCCGCACCGGGGTCCGGTGCGATCTCACCGATCCTCAAATCCAAGATTGAGCTCTTTCTGGCCTGCCGTAAAGAGGTACATTTGCGCCCCTTTCACACGTGAACACAGGTGTCAACGGAGCGCGACCTTTACGTATCTATGTACGGTCGGCGCAGTTCACGCGGGATCGTCTGTTGTTTTCATCTGATCAGTATGGAAGTTGCAAACCATGCACCACTCAAGTGCAACCTACCCCCACCTTCGGCAGCAAGTAAATACATTGTGCTGCTTGCGTACTGGTACTCGTAGAGGATGACCGAAACGAAAGAGGGAGGCAAACAGATAACCGTTTTTACCGGTACCCCAGATGGAAACCACATCGTTTGTTGTCATTTTGTCATGCAAAAGCCGAACTCGCATTCAAACCCATGACCATTCGCTGCATGGAAAACTGCTATGCACCAGCCTACGTTGTGAATATGTACGGTACGCCGCACATCGTCTGCTTGTGAATACCTACATGGTACCATACTCAGAGGGGGAGAGACACACCGGTCGGGGAGATGGCACCGGGGTGCGCGCAAACAACACCACCGTAGCACTACAAGTAAGGCCGCTGTCTGTATTTGATTGGGCATTGCACCGGTCGGAGAGATCGCACCGGGGTGCCTTGAAAAGAACTAAATGAGATTATTTACGTGCATTTCCGCACCGGGGTTGGAAAGATCCCACAGAGGTGCGACAATAAACACGAAAAAAGAGTATCTTATAAATCGATCGCACCTTGTGCCGTCTCTCCGACTCTTACGGTACTTTCACGGCCGGCTCCTTGCGAAAGAAAGCCCCATTGGCGAAGGGAAGCAATTGTTGCAGTCGGTCGAAAATTGTGGAACACAACAAGCATCACCCTAAGTCAGGCCTGGCAAGGCACTGCGTCATCGGCTTGGCTTCCTATAAAATAGAATATTCTCCGTGTGCGGATAGCCGGAACTTCTCATGGCTTGTCGATCCCAACCATGAGTCAAGACTACCCAAGCGCATCCACCACCCCGCCATCACAATTCTTCGTAATAACGTGGCATCGATGACTGTACAAAGTTCTTGCCGACGTGTTCTACCTGATTGATTGCGTACGCCGGTCGCCACACGGCACACAGAGCAAGGCATACCTGCGTATTGCGGAGGTGGAGAATGTTGGTGTGGGCAATTTCACGGCCGATGGTGTTCTACCACGACGACACCATAGTATGTTGTCTCGTGGCTCCTGGTGGCTTGTTTTATCCCCGTGAACACGTTTACTGCGCGTTTGACGTTTCCTGGAGTGCTTGACAACAGGCTAACGTCGTACACGTATATGCATGCAACACACAAGGTGTCCTTGTGCTCGGGCGAAGACTTCGACTTCCTTGTGGTGGCCCTCAACACGGGGGTGCAGGTAATTGCTCTACTCTACTCCAACAAATATCAGTGGTAAAAAGGTATCTCGGTGTGAGTTCATCTTTTTGCTGTACTGTGTTCTCGAGAAAAATGAAAACAAAGCGCAGAGAGAATCATATTCGAATACATAAGATGGAGAACATAGGGTATTTGGAAGGAGAGGCGGTTTAGAGTTGGCTGCAGTTCTGCGTAGACGGAACCCACACACAATACAAGAGCCAACAGGAGAGAGTGTGTGAGTGTTTGAGTCATTCCTGGCGCCAGCGAACGTGCCACCTGGCTTGTGGCTTGCCACTTGCGATAAACGCCTGCCTCGGGAAAATGACTTTAGGTACCTATTATTAGTAGGGTGGGCGTCGCGAGCTCGGGACATGGCAACCAGCAGACGTCGTCACAGATAGCCCTCGGTAAATGTTTTTTTGGTCTGTCGGCGTTTGTTGGACTATGCACGGCAACCTGGGCAGGCACAAGACGTTCTGAGGCCGCTCTCCTCCTACGTGTACGAGCTCGGCGTGATTCTGCTGTTCTCTCGTCACATTCCTTCTTCACCTATGATTTCGTGTCTTGTGCTTGGCTCAGGCACATCAGTTCAGATTTGTTTAAAGGAGGTGAAGCCGTGGGCGGTAGCTTGCTCCTAGAGATAGATGAAGGTTCTGTCGTTGACAGTCTTGTCCACGACCACGTTGAGATTGGAAAGTTGCTTGTTATTGCTGAGAGACGATCAGCGAGGGTATGAGATGAAGCGGGGATCCAACTTCATCTCAGGGGGTACACAGAATAGACATTTCTAAGAGGGTAGGGGTCGGAAGGGTAGTCTAAACCTCCTGGGACCGACCCACATCCTGTCAACAATAAAATGTACCCTATTCATGCTAGCAGCCACACTCCTTAACATTTGTTGGTGCGGAGTCGGTTGTGGGGTAAGCCTTCATGCGCCCCTTTACCCTCAGATCGATGACCGAACTATGTTGGGTGTGCGTCCTCACCATAACACAGCCAGTTCGTCGGCATCCTCCTCGTGGTGTCAGATCTGGTCGAGCGACGGGAGACGGCTGATCTACTTCTTCGATGCGAAGGCAGCGCCCGGTTCGTCCACGGTCGACGACGGCGGCAACTTCACTCAGGTAAGGGGGAGGGGGCGGCCTTCACTAGCCGTCGATCTTTGTTGAGTTGTTTGCTGTTTATCACGTTGTTGTTGTTGTTGTTGTTGTTGTTGTTGTTGTTGTTCGTGGTGACGGCATTGTTTGCGTGGTGGTGGTCGTGCTACTATCCTACTCCGATGAGTAAGATCCATGATTATCCCTCCCCTGGTGTTTCATCGCGAACAACTGGTTGCCAGGATTGTTACCGATGGTGGCAAGAAAGGGCGAAAGGAAGATATAGAGTTGGAGAGGAACAGAGAGCAAAGCATGGTGTGCCTCTTGACTGCATTAATAATGAACAGCCGCTCGTGACCGTTTCTTTGCGGTGGGCCTACTGTAGACCGCATCGCCTCAAGAAAACCTTCAAAATCCACAACGAGACCAGGGCATTCCTAGCTCACGCGAGGCTTTCGAGAGAGAACGCCACCCATACAGGTGTGTTGGGGTGGTCGTCCATATGCGGTACTGGAATGTAAGCCCATACTACGATGAAGACAAACCGCCCAACAGCAGATACGTGTGCAAGACCAAAGTTGTCCACCTTGGAGAAAAAAAACAGATAGGACAGTCTAAACAGCTCTCCGGCTTGATGTGTGGGTCTGAATCAAAAGCCCGTGGAGCGCAAACCTCTTCTTGCGCCCATACATACGTGCCACATATTCTTGCCTCTAGTGCTCCGAACGTCTGAACCCTGACCCCACGAATGTTGCCCGTGTTCATTTCAATCAGGGCATTGCAATGGTCCCGAGAGGGCGGAATTTTATCGTCGGCTGCAGCGACGGAGACGTGTTTGCGTTCCAAGCTAAGGTGCAGGATTTTAGAGGATGCTTAAAATGCAGGGGATCTAGGGGGGGGTCGGGGAGCGCAGTCGGTCAGTCCACCACCACACGTTTGTTTGTTTTTTCAAAGTTCCGAGCAAAGCCGAAGGTGCGCAACGGGCCGTATGTTATACCGTATTCTTCCTCTCGTAAGAGAAGATCTGGTCAGGGAACTGCTTCAAAGTTGCACGGGCTTACGAAGACACCATAACTAATCAAGATTGTGCACGGCCGTGTCTAGAAATGTTTTAAAGAAAACCATCCCTTTCATCGTTTTACCGATATGTCTTAAAATTGTGCCTGAGAGGGCAGACCGGCCCCCAAGGGGAAGCGTGCGAGCTGACGGCTACTCTGAGAGGGCACTGCCAACCGATCACGTGTGCGGCGGCCGACTCGGAGTGCTGCGTTTCTGGAGACGCGTGAGTGCCTCACGCATCGCTAGCCCTAACCTTCCTCTAGCCGTACATGCTGGACGCAGCCCTAACCTGATCCCTAGAAAAAAAACTGACCCAAGGGGAACGGTATCGATCAATATGCAAGACTCTGGGGTGGTACGGGGGGAAGGGGACGGGGGTCACAGTGCTGTGGAGCAGCCAGGGACGGCGGTGCCTTCATCACCGCGATTCGTTTCTTGTTGAATTGTGGACCCGTTAGGGACTTTGATCTCTGTCTTCCAGAGTTTGATTTGTAGCCTTGTGGTGTTCGAGAAACGGAATTGAACTTTTCCCTAGGATGACGGTCAACACCCGAGGAGAGGTTCCGATGTTGTCATCAAGAGTAAATGGGTGAAAATGCTATACCAAGGGGACACTCGCTACTGCGGTTGTTCTGCGTCGTCTCTTTTTGTTCAATGCTCTTCCTCCTCCTCCTCCTCCTCCTCCCCCTCCTCCTCCTCCTCCTTCCGCAGGGGGGGCACGGTCATTGTGTGGAGTATCGCCAAGCACCTTGAACGGGAATGTTCCTTCGACGGCGACGGGTGAGGTTATGGCACAGGCGCTACGGTCAGAGTTAGGGATGGTACATCGTGTAGAGAATCGAATGCAAACACTTGATACCGAAGGAGGGAAAGGATAACGCCGGTGTCACACGGCACACGGGCACTGAAAAGACGATAACCTGGGGTAGTTGATGCTGATGCCTTCTTCACACTCAGCATGTATTTCTGGCCTTTGTCCAGTAGAGCGTTCCCTCTTCCGTGTTCTTCAATCGACAGAACCGAATTCCCGACGGATCATGTATGCCCGGGGGTTGTGCTCATAGTTCGCCACCATGCATACCCCCGAAATCGCGCCCTCTTGCCGTCCAGCACCCCCACTACCGCCCTGTGTGCACGAGACGGCTCAGTGGTGGCCTCATACGCCACCGGACACCTGCGCGTTTTCGACACCCACAGAAAGTGAGGATCGACCGAAGCGGTGGGGGAAAGGGGGGAGTGCCGAGGACGTTCCCCGAAGTTATTGCACCTATCATGCGGTTGTAGGCTTCGTGCGTCTCGTCGTTGCGTCGCCGTTGTTGATTATTCCGTGTTGGGTGCTGCGTTTGTCACGAAAGACATCTGCACGTTAGGGAGGGAGGGAGATTCCGCGACCCAGCTGAGTTACGTGGGCATCAATCACAGCACACGAAACGTCGCGGTCAAAAGAGCTACAAGCAGCGCCCATTTTCCGATGACATAACTGCGATGGCCCTCCATTTCTGGACATACCTACTCCTCGGTACCAGAAACACAGCACATCTAGCCGTTATTTCGATGTTGCCGGTGTCATGCTGTCGGTGGCGTCGTTTACACCGCAACGGCGCGGTGGTGCCGGGCGCCGGGGGCGAATTCTTTTGTCGCTTGCCAACTGTGATACGAGCGTTAACCAGCACCCGTCGCTCTCGAGAACGCTACCATTTACTCCTCCTCCTCACCACATCTTGACGGCCTTGACGTTCTGCTGTTCGCGCGGGCGGGCGCGGGGGGGGGCGGGGCTGGCAGAACACTTGCGATCGAGATCGCAGCGCACAGCCGCACTATCAACGCGATGGACCTGCATCCCTCCAGCATGCTGGTGAGACCTGCTATTAGGGCGAGACGAAGGCAAGGCATGGAGAGAAACGGTTGAAGCATTCGTGGTGGGACAATCAATACTTCCCGGCAAGGAGAACCAATTGCCCGCGTCGGCAGCCTGATGTGTGTAGGAACGGTAACTTGTTTTGTGCGGTGCGAGCTCAGACCCCCTTTCAACCAATACAGCTGCCGCATCTGATCGGCTTACCGTCCGGATGAAGAGAAAGAGAGGAGAAAGAGTCGTTCGTTGTCAACTCATCCCCGGTAATGCTATCGTTGCCTGTTTATATAACGTTTATATCTCCCGCTCGTACGTCCTATCGCAGTTGGCTACGGTCGGGGAAGATTTGTTTCTCAACGTGTGGGAGCTGCCCAAGTGCGGCCAGGAGGGACCATCAGGCCAGGCAAGAGAAAGCCCGTGCTTGTTGTTGTTGTTGTTGTTGTTGTTGTGTGGGGTGTTGCGGCACGAAGTGTTCCTTCGCTACCGCGTGGTGGGGGATGCCCCCATCCTCGCGTGTGCATGCAGGCTTCCCCGGCGAGTGTACCTGCGTTAGGAACGTTACAGTGGAAGTTTGTGGAACGGGGGTGGGGGGGGGGGGGGGGGGGTGCGGGGGAGTGCCCCTCTTGCGGGCAAAAAAAAGTCCTTCCGGCACGTAGTGTTGGGGATAGGGATGTGCCCTTGCTATCCTTGCTGGCTGCGAGCGGAGCCCATGTGGATTCGGACACCAGGGGGAAACGTAACGACTGCTTCTTGGATCTTATCGCTTGCTCCACGCCACCCCCCGAAAGGGAGAGCACATCCGAAACCTCAAGTATTTCCGTCATCGCTCAGGCCCTTGGCACGCCCCTTTGACGCTAGCCGAGCAGGGGAGAGTACGGGGTGCGATGTGCGCTCCGCGAATTCTTGAGCGATTGTTCGAAAGGGCAAGGTTAATACCATGCTTGGTGCGAACTGAAATGCTTCTGGCGTGCGTTGCAGTGGCTCGAGCGGACGGAAACTTCGTGGTATGTACGCCGACAACGACCGACCTCTCTTCGTTGTGTGTACGATGCCGGCCAAATACTAGTGCCCTTTCCACATGGCCCAAAACAAAATTGGGGAGCATGCGTGCGTCGCTGTTGTATCTTGATTTGCTATTATGTACATACTTTCACCGTTTCGTGGCTGCGTCCCTACACGCGCACATGAAATATCAAACATCATATCATCAGGTGGGATTGGTGGCTACGTCACGCGTGGACAACCGCCTCTTGACCGGAGTGCAGTTCTTGGTGGACGGCAGCCATCGAATCATCGGCCTCGCTTACGACTGTGACCACTTGCAGATTTGGCACAAGCTTGGTTGATTCATCGCGGCCATTCTAAGGGGTGTTGACCTTTCACTGAGCATGCCCTTTGCCGCTCGCTGTAGACTTCTCACAAAAAATGTGCAGCTTCTATTGGCCATATGAAAGGGACCCTTTCTTTTGACTTGGGGTGAGGGGGGGGGGTGTACTCATAGTCGTGCATGCCGTAGTCGTTACACCATGGACCTCGCATCCCTACAAAGTCGGGACGGAGCACGCCGGGTTCTCACCGGACCAGGCTCTCACATCACCAAGCGCGAAGCGCCATGAGGTATTCGGCGAGTCGCATGAAGGGTGCGATGCATCCTGCTAAGGGTGTTCGGCATCTTGTGCTTACTTCCTTGCTTACGGATGACAGCTGCGTATGACTTAATTAATTTTCTTGTGCTTTCACTTCCAGAGACAGTTGTAAGCACTGTGTAACTGCCTCGAGGATGCTTGACATATTAACACAACGTGGTGCGATCATCCCCCTTGCGCGGAGTGAGGGTTCTCGACCCCGCACAACGTAATCTACTCCACCACCATTATGGTTACCGCAAAAAAAAAAAAGAGGTAAAAAAAAAAAACGGTAACCTGGTTGCCGAGTTCACGGAGTGAATTGGCTTGTTTTACAACGTCGTTGCCAAGCGACGAAAACCCAATCCCGATGGCAAACACAGAGGG